CTCTCTCTCTCTCTCGCTCTCTTCTCTCTCTCTCTCTCTCTCTCTCTCTCTCTCTCTCTCTCTCTCTCTCTCTCTTTCTTAGATGATAAATATAGTTCTGGGTAAATAAGGTATCTAATAAGATGCAATTGGATCCTGCAATTCCTGCAAGTTACATACTATATATATAATTATCGAATATCTTTCATTGTACATATTTGGATGTGCTCAGAGAAAACGAAATTTGTAGTTTGATAAATCTTTATTATATAACGAAATAATATGCATATACTGTTAACTTCGGAGAAAATATCAGTTAAACAGTGGCTATGCGACCAAAAATATCACAATTGCAAGACTGATTGCATAAAATAATGGAAAATATTTTCTACAAATTCATTTCCTGATATTAAAATAGTGCATCAAGAAAAATACCATTGGCAATGGTAATAATAATTATGTTTATATGTGTTACTAAAAGGAATTATTATGCTTGTTCATTAACAATTTAACATTTATAAAATATCACAGTTCATTATTAGAAACAAATTTTCCGAAATTGGAAACTGTTTATCCCAATATTTTAAATAGCTTGAAACACAATGTCTAGAGAAGCCTTATTTCAACATGAAAACACTCACTGATGTATCATAGAAATACAATTTTCGACGCACCTTTCCTACGAGTATGGTATTTTGACTGTAATCATGTTGGTTGCACTGTCATAGATCGTCGTCACCTGCTTTGGCATACGGGATGGTGATTAAATAGTAATGAAGAGGAACATACTTCGGAAGACCAGACCAGGGTGAGGGAGAGAAAACTCCAGCCAGCACAGCGCGTCAGACAGAGTTGAAGAAGAACCTCTCGAAGCCATAGTCCTCCCACATGGGTCTTGTTCCTTTATTTTGCCTCATCTTGTCGCCGATCTCTCCGTAGAGTTCCCTGAGGTCCATGGTGCGGGCGTGTCTGTTGAGCACTTCGCAGAGGCACTTGACAAACACCGTGCCCGAGGATTTCAGTCTGTGTGCCATGACCCCCTCGATGGCGGCGTGAATGGTGACCATGTCGCAGGGCACTTCCAGGCTGTCCACCTCCCGCTTCTCCATCTGGTCGCCGCGGCAGTAGTTGGTGAAGAAGATCTTTGGCTTCCCCTTCATGTAGGGGCACCCGCGGTTGGTGAAGCTGAAGCGGATCTTGTGGAGACAGATTTCCTGGCCGTCGTTCGCCCTGAAGGTGTAAGGGTCGACGCCGTGGCTCAGGATGAAGATGATCAGCGCATCCACGCTGCTCAGGGCGGCGTTGCCCCGAATGCTCTTGAAGGCCTCGAGCGTCTGCGCCCCCGTCAGGTCTTCAAGGACAAACACATCGTAGCCCATCTTCCTGAAGGTCTCATAGATGTTAATCGAGTCCAATTTGGCGCCCGTTCGCTGGCTTTTCCCTTGGCCCTCGAAGGTGTTGTTGAAGACATAGACATGGCCGCGAGGAGTGGACACCACTGAGTACTTGCGCCTACTTTTGCCATGGCTCGCCCTCTGCTGAAGGAATAGGGGCCGGTTAGATTCGTGTGAGAGAGAGAGGCATAGAGTACATTTATGCATTCCTTTTTACCCAATAATGAATTCTTGCCAACAGATAATGTACGTGTCCATAAATGGCCGGAAACAAACCTGGCTGACAGAAGGATCTTCCGTCTCGCTCGATTTCCGCGTCTGTAGGTCAAGCTCCATTTCCTGTAAGTGGCGACACGTATGAGAGCGAGATACTTATAAGAGTATGCACACATGCATGTATGTATTTATATGTATGTGTATCTATGCATGTGTATGTGTACTTGCTTGTGAGTGTATGTGTGTATGTGATATACATACATATATATATATATATATATATATATATATATATATATATATATATATATATATATATATGTGTGTGTGTGTTGTGTGTGTGTGTGTTGTGTGGTGTGTGTGTGTGTGTGTGTGTGTGTAATATTATGTTTGTGTGTTACTTTTATACCAATATCTTTAATTGGATTATTTCTTATACCTTTTTCTTATGCTTTTTACTTTTCAGATGGTCTGATAGTGTGTAGGAGCTATTGAACCTTTTCTGACAGGCGACGCACGAAAAGGGTTCGGCAATGTTGTCCGTCTGAACCACCAGCTTCTCTCGGAAGACTTTCTCGAGTTCATCCTCCTCCTCGGACGGCGAAGGCTGCTGCTGAACAGAAAGAATACGACTTGAATTTGCGTTCCTGTGCTGCCAAGAGGTCTAGATATGCTTTATTTTCAGCAGCCACATCTCTGATGTTACTAATCTGTTCAAATTGCTGATCTTCACTTGCGGATAACGTGTTTAGCTGTTCTGAGTTTGGGGCGGAGATCAAGAGGCTATAGATTTACCTGATTGGAAGGAGCAACGAAACCTCCTGAGGGTGGTTCTGAGCCCAAAATCGCGGTATATTTCTTTATTTCTTCGTCCGTGATTTTGAACCTTGAGGCTGCAAACGTGGGTGCCGTGAAGCCCGAGTTCCCCTGGTCAGGTATAGAAGTCCTAAAGCTCGAGCTGCCTTGGAGAGCCGAGAGATTTGGAATGAGGGAAACGTCTTGGAGCTTCGTTGGCGTCTGGATAACAGAGACGCCCTGCACAGCTGTTGGCGTCTGGACGACCGAAAAGCCCTGCACATCGGACGGGGCGTGGAAGCCCGGAATCTCCTGCGTCGCAGCTGTGGCCTGGAAGACGGGAGGGCCTGGCGTTGTCTGGGGAGCCTGAGCGCCAGGCGAGAGGCCAGACGTCGGGGCAAATCCAAGAGCCAGGCTCCCCGGCGGCCTCTGCGCTACGACCTTCTTCTTGTGGACGTCGCTCACCAGGTGGCTCTGCAGAGGCACAGACCCGGAAAGCCTGGACGCTGCCAGATGAGACACTCGTAGACCTTCTTCGGCGTGACGGTGACCATTCCACCCACGGCCGCCTCGAGCACAGTGGGCGTCAGGAGGCCCTTTAGAGATCGCGGTGCCTCTGATGGCTTCGAGACGGCGTACCTGGCACCGGCCTCGCGATGCTTGGAGCCTTCGAGATGCTTCGCGACGTCAGTGCCTCCTGAGAGCGGCACTTGGCAGACTGTGCAGGTGTATCGCTTCAGGGCGGGGTTGAAGGTCACGACGCCATCGCTCATCGCTTGGCTGACAGACTGACTCAACGGAGGAAAAGAAAGATAAATAAATGTCAATAAATTGCTAATGATAATAGCGGTGATAATGATAGCGAAACCAATAACAATGATTATAATGATAGTAATTGCGATGCTAATAGTAAATATGATATTAATGATGAGAATGATGATAACAGAATAATAAGAATAACATCAATATGAACACAAATATGAAGAAAAGTATCATCAATAATAACAACAATGCTAATGATAAAAATAATATTAATAAACAAAGATAACAATGACCCTAAATGATAATAAAATAATAATCACATCAATAATAATAGCAACAAAAATAATAATGATCATAATATTAGTACACAAAATAATATGGAAGACAAAAATGATAATAATGATGATAGCAAAAATAATAATGATGATAATATCAGTTATTAATTATAATAATTAGATTAACAATAATAATTGTGATGATGATGACGATGATTATAATAATAATAATAATCATTAGTATTATTATTACTATCACTATCATTATAATCATTAATATTATTACAATAATATAGAGAATGGCAGTGATGATAATCATAACTATAGCGATAATATCAACGATGACAGCAATAACAGTATTGATAATAACAAATATCATTATTGGTAACAGTGATAGCAGTAGTATTAGTATCACCATCATTATTATCATCAACATTATTATGATTATGATTATCATTGCTATCATCACCATTATTATCATTATCATTATCGTCATCACTTGTTACCATCATTCACAGTCATGTTCCTCGGCAGAACTATACAAATTATTTTTCATTCTTCTTACCGGTTCCTCCATATCTCAGCTGATGAGTGACGTCACGAGGTCTTCTGAAGAGAATTTAAAAAGGAAATGACATTCCAGTCAATAGCAAAAATAGTGATGATCATGATGGCGATGGTGGTGGTGATGAAGGTGGTGGGGGTGAGTATGAGATGATGATAATGATGGGGGAGTGATGGTGATGGTAATGGTGATGATGATGATGATGTGGATGATGATGATGATGATGGTGGTGGTGGTGGTGGTGGTGGTGGTGGTGGTGGTGGTGATGATGATGATGATGATGATGATGATGATTTGATGATGGATTGATGATGGTGATGCATAAAGATGGGGTGGTGGTGGTAGTTGTAGTGGTGTAGTTGTAGTGGTGGTAAGTATGAGATGAGGATGAGGATGATGATGATGAATGATGATGATGGTAGCGGTAGTAATTATAATAATAATGATGACGAAAAAATAATACCAATAATTATGATAATAAAAATAATAATAATAATAGTAGTAGTAGTAGCAATAACATAGGAATAACAACAATATTGATAACAATATTATCGTTATTATTATAATGATAATAATAATGATATTAATAATAATGATGATGATGATGATGATGATGATGTGATGAAGATGATGATGATGATGATGATGATGATGATGAAGATGATGATGATGATTGATGATGTGATGATGATGATGATGATGATGATGATATGAAGAAAAGGAAAAAAGAGAAATAATAACAAGAATAAAAATACAACAATAATAATAATAATAATGAGAAGAAGACCACTGCTACTACTATAACAATTAATAACAATAATGGTATATAATAATGAATAACAAAAATAATAATGATGATGATAATAATAATAATATCAATAATAGTAGTAGTAGTAATATCAATAATAATGATAATGATACCAATAATAATAATAGCAAAACAACTATCTTCATAACACTAACAATAATACTACTGCTAATAATATCAACAATAATGGTAATATTCATAATGAT